CTCTCTCATTTGCTCTCTTTTTACATTGCTTCACCACTCTCTTAACCTCATCTGAAATTCTAGGTTCTAAAAAGCTCTCTTGAAACAGAGTGATTAATTTAACGCAACCAGAAAAACCTCTCCTCCAGCCAACAAATACTGCCAATAAACCTAATGTCTTTTTCTCGACAGTAGGAACAAAGCTAGCAAACAAAATCCCAAACTCAAACACTCAGCCAAAAGACTACCTCACTGGTAACAACCCAAATACTCCATTTCTAGCTCCAACAAACCCTAGTGAAATCTTTACACTTTACTCTGGAAGTTTATAATTAGCAGTAGCATTGCATTCTTGAATATTACTGAATGTTCTATGAATCATAATTTGTATTCCTAGTTGTGTAGGAAGGTAAAAATATGCTAAAATATTCACATAAAATGTCCTAGGTAAATTGTAATATGTTGCTTTTGCTCATCAAACAAATCACAGTAAATGTTTTTTATTCTTTAAATCATAGCATTATGGATCTGGATAAGAAATAAGGAATGAATGTGTATGTCATTGCAAATGTATGGAACAGGTTGTAAATAGCTGAAAACCAATGTTTTTAAAAGGAGAACAAGACACACCATACAGTGCAAATATAAAGGGATCTTTCAAAACAATGTTAAATATTATTAAATAAAAGTGTATTTTAGACAAAGGTATTTTATGTTTCTCAGTAAAAGTGCCTCTTAATAAAAATAACCCTCTAAGGGTCTTAACCCTCTGAGGGTCAAGAATGACAACAAAGTTCTAAGAATTTTCAAAAAAGAAATCTTATTTTTTCTTATGAAATGGTAGAGAATATTTTTCTGAAGGTAATAAAACAAACAGTATGAAATCTGATGGAAAACTGATGAAATTATGCTCTTGCAAATTTTGCCGCATCAGCGATATTTATGCATTGGCGATTTTGCCAATTTTGACTCCCATTTTAGGTCAATTACATTATTCCAGTCGACTAAATTCTTAGCTATTTCGCTAGTATTACCTCTATTTTATCAATTGAGCACAAGAAGTTGCCCAGTCAACTGTTTCAACTACCCAATAAAGTGATCAGAAATTTGTAATTTGGCCAATTTAAAACAAAGTTTAAAATATTCAAATTTCAAAATAGGGTCTAAAATGAACAAGGCAGGCATTCCTGGCACTAAATTAACATTTCTTCTGTTCATTAGTTACATTTTCAGACTTAACAAATGAATTCCAATTTGATTTTTTATTCACAAAATGAATTTTTATTCACACCAAAAAATAAAAGATTTATTGTTATGCAATACAGTGGACCCTCGCCTAACGATGACATCACATAACATTAAATCCGCCTAGCGATACATTTTAACACAAAAATTTTGCCTCGCCTAGCGCTAAAAAACTCGCTCAACGCGATTCGTCCAAGATGCGTCCATGTGCGGCATGAGCCAGCCTCACTTGTTCCGCAGGTGGCAGTGTTTACAAGCCAGCCTCTGCAGTCACATCCAAGCATACAATCGGAATATTTCGTATTATCACAGCGTTTTTAGTGATTTCACCTGCAAAATAAGTGACCATGGGCCCCAAGAAAGCTTCTAGTGCCAACCCTACAGGAATAAGGGTGAGAATTACTATGGATATGAATAAAGAGATCATTGCTAAGTATGAAAGTGGAGTGCGTGTCTCCGAGCTGGCCAGGTTGTATAGTAAACCCCAATCAACCATCGCTACTATTGTGGCCAAGAAAACGGCAATCAGGGAAGTTGTTCTTGCCAAAGGTGCAACTTTGTTTTCAAAACAGAGATCGCAAAGTGATAGAAGATGTTGAGAGACTGTTATTGGTGTGGATAAACGAAAAACAGATAGCAGGAGATAGCATCATCAAGCAATCATATATGAAAAGGCTAAGAAGTTGCATGAGGATTTAATTAGAAAAATGCCTGCAACTAGTGATGATGTGAGTGAATTTAAGGCCAGCAAAGGTTGGTTTGAGAGATTTAAGAAGCATAGTGGCATACATAGTGTGATAAGGCATGGTGAGGCTGCCAGTTCGAACCACAAAGAAGTTGAAAAATATGTGCATGAATTCAAGGAGTACATAGACAGTGAAGGACTCAAACCTGAACAAGTGTTTAATTGTGACAAAACAGGCCTGTTTTGGAAGAAAATGCCAAGCAGGACCTACATTACTCAGGAGGAAAAGGCACTCCCAGGACATAAGCCTATGAAAGACAGGCTTACTCTGTTAATGTGTGCCAATGCTAGTGGTGATTGCAAAGTGAAGCCTTTATTGGTGTGTCACTCTGAAACTCCCAGAGCGTTCAGGCAAAAGAATATCCTCAAGGCTAATTTGTGTGTGCTGTGGAGGGCAAACAGTAAGGCATGGGTCACTAGGGACTTTTTTTATGACTGGTTACACCATGCATTTGCCCCCACTGTGAAAAATTACCTAACTGAAAAGAAGTTAAACCTTAAGTGCCTCCTGGTGTTAGACAATGCCCCTGGTCATCCTACAGACTTGGCAGAGCGACTTTGTGGGGACATGAGCTTCATTAAGGTCAAGTTTTTGCCTCCTAATACCACTCCTCTCCTGCAGCCCATGGACCAGCAGGTCATTGCAAACTTCAAAAAACTGTACACAAAAGCTCTGTTTGAAAGGTGCTTTATAGTGACCTCAGAAACTCAATTGACTCTAAGAGAGTTTTGGAGAGATCACTTTAACATCCTCAATTGTGTAAACCTTATAGGTAAGGCTTGGGAGGGAGTGACTAAGAGGACCTTGAACTCTGCTTGGAAGAAACTGTGGCCACAATGTGTAGACCAAAGGGATTTCGAAGGACTTGAGGCTAACCCTGAGAAGCATATGCCAGTTGAGGAATCAATTGTGGCATTGGGGAAGTCCTTGGGGTTGGAGGTTAGTGGGGAGGATATGGAAGAGTTGGTGGAGGAGGACAATGAAGAACTAACCACTGATGAGCTGCTAGATCATCTTGAACAGCAAGAGGCCACACCTGAGGAAACTGCTTCGGAGGAGGGGAGAGAGAAATTGAAGAAGTTGCCTACTTCAAAGATTAAGAAAATATGTGCAAAGTGGCTTGAAGTGCAAACCTTTATGGATGAAAATTACCCTCAGACAGCTATTGCAAGCCGTGCTGGTGACTATTACACTGACAATGTTGTGAAACACTTTAGGAAAGTCATAAAGGAACGAGAGGTACAGACCTCTATGGACAGATATGTTGTGCGACAAAAGTCCAGTGACTGTCAAGCTGGTCCCAGTGGCATTAAAAGAAGAAGGGAAGTAACCCCGGAAAAAGACTTGACACCTCAAGTCCTAATGGAAGGGGATTCCCCTTCTAAACACTAACACCATCAACACTTTACCCTCCTCCCATCCCATCAATCATCACCAGATCTTCAATAAAGGTAAGTGTCATATAACTGTGCATGTCTTCTTCAGTTTGTGTGTATTAAAATTAATATTTCATGTGGTAAAAAAAATTTTTTTTCATACTTTTGGGTGTCTTGCACGGATTAATTTGATTTCCATTATTTCTTATGGGGAAAATTAATTCGCCTAACGATAATTTCGCCTAACATTGAGCTGTCAGGAACGGATTAATAGCGTTAGGCGAGGGTCCACTGTAAACACAAACACACACAATTTAAATAAGTACACAAATAACCCGCACATAAAAGAGAGAAGCTTACGGCGACGTTTCGGTCCGACTTGGACCATTTACAAAGTCACACTAACCAGAAGTGGAGCAGGAACGGCTATATATAGGCAGGAAGAGGTGGTAGTGGTAGTAGTAGTAGTAGTAGTAGTACAAGAATGGTATATAATACCGATAAGATGAAATTAAGACACATGTGCAACCTCCCGGGTGTTGCACATGTGTCTTAATTTCATCTTGTCGGTATTATATACCATTCTTGTACTATTATTACCACCACCTCTTCCTGCCTATATATAGCCGTCCTGCTCCACTTCTGGTTAGTGTGACTTTGTAAATGGTCCAAGTCAGACCGAAACGTCGTCGTAAGCTTCTCTCTTTTATGTGCAGGTTATTTGTGTATCGTTCCAGTCATGGTATTGTGCCTTTTTTGTTATTTAAATAAGTAGTTTATAAAGTTGTATTTCTTTTTGTAGAATTAAATTAAGGTGTGGTAGAATTGTGGTAACTAGAGAATTGTGCTTGGCAAAAGTCTTTTGTTTTTTTGGTGGGTGTGGGAGGAGCTAAGCTAGACTCCTCCCTCTCTCTCTCTCTCTTTTTTTGTTGATTTGAAGCTGGTAGGACCTCTGGGTCCTTCTTTCTATTTTTTTTGGCATTATGTGTGCCCCAGGGGTAAGTTTTATAACTTAAATTGTGGCCACCATACCCAGGGTTACTAAAGTGTGTCAAAACACTGGTTAGTCCAGAGATTAGTCCAGAAGGAAGAAGGGCAATTTGTCCAGATCCACCATGTGGGCTGTCTTAGAAGAGCAGCTGAGGGGTGTGCAGGTTTATGTTTTGAATGTGTGAGTGCTGTAATTGTATATTCTGTACATATCTATTTAGAATACAGTTATATTTTTATAGTAGTAGTTTAAATAACCTGTAAAGAGGGCTGGTGAAAGGATTTCAGAGACACTGAGGATGATCAATCATGAATGTAAGTATTACCCTAGACTACTAAGGCCTTTAAGTAAAAAGCTACCCCACACTAGGACATGTAATGAGAACCTTACTATCAAAGTAATAAGGGACAACAACATAACAATCAAGTAAACTAGTTAGTAAGTCTTAAGTTTTGGAGTCAAGTTGTATAATACCTGTGCACTGAAAGTTAAGCTGGAATGTTGCAATTCAGTGGGTTATCCAAGGACAATCATAAGGGGTTTCCATCACTGTGTCAACCCACTTCATGGAAAATGACTAACTAGATAAAAAAAATCCCCACTAAGTTATGCAGCAGTCTAACTGGAGCGGCAAATAAAACTAAATTTAAAACAATAACTCACCTTAGGAATATTGGACACAACTTCATACATGATTCCTGTTTCATAGAGAGTATTAGCAGAACCAATAAATGACTTAACAAACTTGCTGGTTAATGACTGCTTCTTATAAATATTAACTGCAAGTCGCTTTCTTAACACTAGATCCATTGGAGCTGGATGGGACAGACGAACCACACCTTTCACAATGAGATAAACTCTTTCATCAGCTGAAAAAAAATACAAATGTACATGTTTTAAATATTATACAGAGTATACAAAATAAATAAATATGTGAATGACTGTAAACATTTTTCTTCCTTTGGTCATGCTACTATGGTGGGAAATAGCCAATGTCAAAATAAGTGAGACTCCAAAGCTTACTGTAGGGCACTGGAAAACTCAATCATATCATCAACTAGGAACACAAATGAAAAACCATCCATATTAATCCTAATAATAAAGTTGAAATTCTTTAACCCTTTCAGGGTCCATGCCGTAGATCTACGGCTTTATGTTCAGGGTCCAAACTGCAGATCTACGCCATGAGCTCAGCTCACTCTGATAAGCTGTGAGCAGTAAATCTGGGCCTAGATATGAGAGAATACATCTATGTGGTATGTGTGCACCACATAAAACAAATCCTGCAACACACAGTGCATAATGAGAGAAAAAAACTGAGACCGTAATTTTCGATTAAAACAGCAACTTCACAATGTTTTCTCGTATGTTTTTTATAGTTGTATTTGCAATTTCTTGGTCTCATTTGATAGAATGGAAGATATACTACAGAAATAGAGATTATTTTGATTGGTTTTAGTACTGGAAATGGCTTGAAACTGAGCTCAAAATAGCAGAAATGTTAAATTTTTGCCGATGTTCAAGAGTAAACAAATGACCTCACAAGTCTAATACGTGACAGCTGGTGGGTCTAATATACATTCACAAATGTGGTGATATTATTTATACAATTATTACAGTATTGCATAACAGTAAATCTTCTATTTTTTGGTTTGAATAAAAATTCATTATGTGAATAAAAAATCAAAATGGAATTCATTTGTAAAGCCCGAAAACATACCTAATGAACAGAGGAAATGTTAGTTTAGTGCCAGGAATGCCTGTATTGTTTATTTTGAATCCTATTTTGAAACTGGAATATTTGAACTTTGCATTAAATTGGCCAAATTACCAATTTCCAGTCACTTTATTTAGTTGTTGAAACAGTTGACTTGGCGATTTCTTGTGCTCAATCGATAGAACAGAAGTAATACTAGTAAAATAGCTAAGAATTTGGTTTACTGGAATACTGTAATTGCCTTAAAATGGGAGTCAAAGTCGGCAAAATCACCGCTGCGTAAATATCGCTGACACATCAAAATTCGTGAGAGCATAATTTCGTCAATTTCCCATCAAATTTCGTACTTTTTGTTTTATTGCTTTCAGAAAAAGATTCTCTGCCATTTCATAAGAAAAAATAACAAAATTATTTTTTGAAAATTCTTGGACCCTGGCGAACACTTTGAAATTTGGCCTCTGGACCCTGAAAGGGTTAATTTGCATGCAGTACCTCTTCTGAATTTACCACATGCTACCTGGAAAAAGTACCTAGACACAAGGAAAGAGAAAACATGGTCACAAGAAAAACGGTTACAGAATATGCTTACCCTAGTAGAAATTAAAGGATTTTCTCTTTCAGAAATATGTGTAACATCATGTTCATGCATAACCATCACCAAATTCAGTTATAAACCCTATATATTCAGCTGGCATAAAAAAAAAAGCCAGAATTAGAAGAAATCTACTTTTCTCAACTTATTTTTCCAAAAGAATATGAACATGTACCACACAGTAATATACCAAAGAGAAATGCATTTTGTCAAATATAACAACTAAAATTCTAAATTCAGTCTTGCCCAGCATGTAAGGTAGTTGTGCAAGCTGAAACATCTCAAGCTATGGTATTTCCTACTTTAGGTCATTGTTCAAAATTACTTTCACAAGCTGTAGTTCTTAGGGGATACACTTTATATGCAAAGAATATTCTTAAGTATTGTTGAATAAGACACATATATCACTGTCATGACCCTCAAATTAAAAGTGTTGATAGTTTAACATCTTTATCATGCACCCCATACCCATCCTGTGGGCAGTCAAAAGATTAAAGAGGTATATAATGGGTCCAAGGACTAGGCCACAAAGTTCTGATACTAAACAGGTTAGAGTGGTAATGAGCTATTTACATGTTTACAGTGGACCCTCGCTTTTCCTTGGGCTCTGTTTTCATGAATTTCAGTTATCACCGATTTTTTTCGTAAAAAATATGGGCTCAGTTTTCATTTCTTTCCTCCGTTCTCGTCGGTGGTACGGAACATATCTGAGCATGCCCGCGTGCACACAACCTCCCACACACGCATTCTGAGGCAGTGTAGCTTTGTTTCTTAGTGAGTGAACATTATCCTGTGAGTTATATGAAACATTTCATAATTCATTGTTTTTTGCACTTGTTTATTCTGTGTGGCTGCTAAATAAGCCACCATGGGCCCAAAGACAGCTGTTAGTGCCAGTCCTTGGTAAAGAAGGTGAGAAACATGATGGAATTAATGAAAAAAATTGTAGAAAAATATGAAGATGGTGGTGGTAGAGGGTGGTAGTGATAGTGGTAGGGGGTGGTGGTGGTAGTGGTTGTGATGATGGTAGAGGGTGGTAGTGGTGATGGTGGTAGAGGGTGGTAGTGGTTGTGATGGTGGTAGAGGGTGGTAGTGGTTGAGATGGTGGTAGAGGGTGGTTGTGGTAGTGATGGTGGTAGAGGGTGGTTGTGGTAGTGATGGTGGTAGAGGGTGGTAGTGGTTGTGATGGTGGTAGAGGGTGGTAGTGACAGTGGTAGAGGGTGGTGGTGGTGGTTGTACTGGTGGTAGTGATGGTGGTAGAGGGTGATAGCAGTTGTGATGGTGGTAGAGGGTGATAGTGAAGGTGGCAGAGGGTGGTAGTGATGGTGGTAGAGGGTGGTAGTGATGGTGGCAGAGGGTGATAGTGATGGTGGTAGAGGGTGGCAGTGATAGTGATGGTGGTAAAGGGTGGTAGTCATGGTGGTAGAGGGTGGGACTGATTGTGGTAAAATGTAGAGCTGCAAGAGCTCTCTGGACAGTTTTTGGTGTGACAGGGGTCCAGTGACTCTTAAGCTGGTCCTAGTGCCATTAACCCTTTCAGGGTCGGCAGGCCCTCTCCCAAACCTGTTCTCAGGGTCTGTAAAAATTCGAAAAAAAAAAAAAAAAAAAAAAAAAAAAATCTTATGATAAGATTTTTTTTTTTTCTAAATATTACAGGCTAAACAAAAAAATTTACCATCAATACTTACCGAGATATGGAGGCATGAAGTTGGCAGAAAATGACTGACATACGGTAACATCGCCGACTGCCAGTCACCCGGTATTCGTTTATTTTCTTTTTATGGTACTATTTTCTATTTTTTTTTTTCAAGTAACTTTTATGGCCTCTGAGACCAATATGAGCACTATTTTGTAAGTTATTTCTTTTTCTATACTACACAATAACTGCACGAACACTGTTGTCACTATTTTGTTTACAAAACTTATTTACACAAACAAACAATACAAAATGTTGTTCATTACTATTTTTCTATATTTTATATACACATATACAGTCACAGGACATGTTTTTAGAAGTTCTGCAGTCTGTGGAAGTCTGTGATGTCATGCACAATGGTGTTTTACACTCCTTACACATAAAACGAGTGTCTCTGCATTGTTGTGGGCATTTTTTTTGTATGTGCACAGACGTAACACCTTTTCTGAGCCTTTTTCTTGAAAGCAGTAGCGGGCAGTTTTGTTAGGAAGTGACCACCATGCTTCAAACGAGAAAGCAGTTGTAGATAATTTTGTGGGCGGTTTTCTATTGAAGGTGTTGTTCTTTTGTACTTGATTATTATTTATTAGATGACAGACAAACAAAACTCACCATAAGGTGGTTTGTTTCCGGTCCTCATCTTATATATATTATAAGCATTGAGCATGGAAATGTCCAGAATATGGAAAAGAGTTTTATATACCACTTATAACTCTTGCGAACACAATCAGTAAACCCAATCTTCATGTCACATTTGTCCACTGAATGCATATTGAGGGTGTAGTCAATCACAGCTGCAGGTTTTAGAATGGGTTCATTGCTTTCTCTATGCTGCCTGCCAGTGTCTGCCATTTCATTAGGGTGGACTGATGACAACTGTGTGACATCTCATTTGTCATGCCACTGAAATGTCATGACATCATTGGCAGCAAATGCCTGCACCTCACCTCTACGAGTGCCAGTGTTGAACCTGGGCATATGTTTATGATTTGCAAGCACTGTGCCACACACATCTGTCATGTTCACTTGCAAGAAATCACTGAGTAAGGGGCTTGTGTACCAGTTATCAGTATATAATATATGTCCCTTACCAAGATATGGTTCCATCATTGTTCTAACTACATCACCGGAGAAACCCAGTAACTTCCTGGTATTTCGCAATGTATTACTTCCAGAGTACACAATTATATCCAATACAAAACCACTGTAACAATCACAAAGCACAAACAACTTTATACCAGAGTGTTTCCTCTTGCTTAGTATATACTGCTTGAATGAGAGTCTCCCTTTGAACAGAATCAAAGACTCATCAATAACAAGCTTCCTGAAGGGATAAAAATACATATTGAATTTCTGTTTCAGATACACAAACACATACCTAATCTTATATAACCTGTCATTTCTGTCAGGCCTGGTTTTGTCTGAAAAGTGAAGCATACGTAATAGTAGTACAAATCGATTTACTCCTATTATATCACTGAAACATGGGGTTGCAATTAAGCGTTCTGTCGACCAGTATGATTTGACACTGTGCTTATATACATGTGGCATAAGCATTGTGGTGGCAAAAAAAAAAAGATACATCTCAGCCACAGTTGTCTCCTTCCACTGGTGTAGCATGAGTTTGGTGAAAGTATTGTGTTTGCCATGGTGTACTCGAAGTATCTGTTGCTTTCCCTGACAATAATTTCCATCAGGGGTTCGTCAAAGAATAACTCGAAACATTCTAGTTCAGTGGCATTGTTCCCAAGTGTACAAGATGGCCATATTCCACTTTGACTTTCATCAAACTGATGGGGATCCGGAACAAAATTGCCAGCTTCCTGCCAATCTCAGGTGCGGTCTGCTGGTGGGTACTGGATAT